GCCGTGACGAATCTCGAAAGTTCGCCAATATTACAGGCCGACGAAGCTGGTTCGGTCACTTTGCCGGTTTACTCTGGCGATCAGACACTTACACCGGTATCGTATAATATCATGATTGCCGCCAAGCTGTTGCCGCCACGAACTTGAGTTCAAAAGCAGAGCTCGTTGCAATGAAATATTTTATTTTTTCCTTTCGGCAGGAAAGTATACGAGAAATAGAAGAAACTTTAAATCAACAGTTTTTTAATATCGGGATGAACTTCAACTTGGGAGGAAGTAATCACTCGAGGCATTCAAACAATGCAAACACGAGTGATTTTGGCCATATGAAAGAACAGCAGCAGCAACAGCCTGTGTTGAACGTTATATATGAAAGCAACAACAACAACAACAACAACAACAGCAACAGCAACAGCAACAGCGACAGTAATGGCAACGTGGAAACATGCGGAGAACACGTGTTTCCCACGCAATTAGATTCATTTGAGATGGACCATATTACCTTGCAAGTAAGATAAAGATGTTTCTACCCCCGTGAATTATCTTGGTTAAAAAAAAAAAGAAGAGGGAAAACAGAAATAAAAAATGAAAATTTTATCTGCAGTCGGACGGTGAAATCGACATTGGATTGGATACGAGAAATTCCACCAGCATGGCGAGCATACTGCCTAGGAATACGAAAGATGAACACCGACTCTCTGTTTGCGTTGCGACACCGGATAACATGAACGTTGAACAGTCGGAAAAGTCTGGTGTGCAAGCAGTGGTATTTGTCTCTCAGTCAAATTTTTCCAAAAAGGAAAACGCAACGAACGAGTTCGCCGTAGAAGAAACGCGAGGAAACAATATTCACAAAGAATGTACGATCGATCAAATCTTTTTCACGTAAGTAAACATCGATACTATTCGCCTGTTTTTCGAATAATCTTGCTACATGACTACGTGTATGTATTTGCCACGAAGGGATCGGGAACGTAAAACGTAAAGACGAATGTTTGATTTGCGTAGAGAAGAGCTGCGGCGGGGAACGGCGCAAGACTTGAAGGTTCGATCAAACGTGCACGCTTTGCCACCCAATGTCGGAGAGATCGTTAAAACCGCTACGGGTAAAATATCCTGTGAGCAATCTCTGTTGCAGTGTCACATGTGCAGCCAACAAGGATTCACAACAGTCGGTTTGAAGGTAAACGTCTTACACGGGTGGTAGATGCTTCCCTTTCGTTTTCTAGCTCACCTCTACGTTTGATGGTCAAAGTAAATGGTTCAGTAAAAGCATTTTTCTTCTTCTTCTTCTTCTTCTTCTTCTTCTTCTTCTGCGTGTAAGGAACATTTGACGAGTCATCGTGGAACGAAAGAGTATCAGTGTACAGAGTGTTCCTCGAAATTTTATACAAACGGTGGATTGAACAGGCACTCGAAGATTCACGTCGTTAAACAGTGAGTGTTAGTCGAGGAAAGTGTCGACGTTCACGATGTTGACGATTGACTATATATATGATATTTCACACTGTCACTGTTTTTCTACAGATCGCTTAAATGTTCGTCGTGCGAGAAGCAGTTTAACAACAGAGTCGAGCTGCGATCGCATAGTAAAATTCACGAGACTTCAATGTGGAACGCTTCGGGGACTTTGAATGCCAGTGCAGAGAGTTCGCGGGTCGGAAATGGTCGTCATTCGCCGACAAACGATATCGCGATAGAACCGGATTCTACCGTTTCGGAGAAAGTTCTGCTGGATACGGTAGCTGAAAGAGAAGTAATGGATCAAGTAGAAGTGAGTTGCCTAGTTGTTGTTTCGAAAGAGATAAGAAGGATGACGAGAGAGAGAGAGAGAGAGAGATTGTTATACCAAGCAACCGAATGTTACATACTTAGAATATATTGGCGGGGAAGAAGGAACGAAAAGAGTATACGAACAGATGCAAGTATTGCCCAAAGACTTTCCGCAAGCCGAGCGACCTTGTAAGACACGTGCGCACACACACCGGGGAACGACCGTACAAATGCGATTACTGCAACAAAAGCTTCGCCGTGAAATGTACTCTGGATTCTCATACGAAAGTTCATACGGGGAAGAAGACGTTTCGTTGTCACGTGTGCAATAGTCTGTTTACGACCAAAGGTAGCTTGAAAGTTCACATGCGTCTGCATACTGGTAAGTGTTGAAATTGATAATAACGATTATCCAATATACATATACTCCTTGTTGAAGAAGCAGTTATTCTCAAATGTACGATTATTATATAAATTACTTCTCCTCTCCTTCTAGTCTCCAGTTTTTCTAAACTGTTGAATGATGATAAGTTTTGAAATTCTTTTGAAGGTTCGAGACCATTCAGATGTCCCATTTGCGATTCGAGATTTCGTACATCCGGCCATAGAAAGGTACACTTGGTGAAACACGCGCACGAACACAAAGACAACGCGAAAAGAAGACAGAAACATTTGAAAGTTGCGGTGATAGCAGAGGTGGCGGCTAATCTTGAGAGATGTAACGAGAAGGAAAGGAAAATGGACAGTTTCGAGGGAAAGCAACAACTGGAAGAAGCGGAAGAAGAAGAGGAGCAGCAACAGCAGCAGCAACAGCAACAGCTTTCGCAGACAGTCGCGGGATTAACGTCTCATTTAGAGACGTATAGCATTGAAACAGCAACGTCCTGTTTAACCGATCAAATTAATTTCGACGCAGAAGATAATAATATCGTGTCGAGCAACAATCAAACGATAGTGTCCATAAACGAAAGCAATCAGTTGGTTACGAATTTACATTTTCTTTTGACCAATGGCCTCGTTACCATTCAAACCGAAGAATCGTTGTTGTCGCAACCATCCTCATCCTCGGTTAACAACAATTCGCATCACCGACCGATCGGTGTTCCCGACGCTGAATGTGCATTATCCAGCGTTGTATCCGATACGAACGAACAGCATACCAAGGGAGGAATTCACATAGAGCAAATGTTGAAAACGCCATCGAACAATTGCCTGTTGACAGTGTCAACAACCGTGACACCGCCGCGATTGGAACAATGCCGGAAAGTGACTACGGAAGAGACGTTGTCGGTGGTAGCCGATGATAAGCCAACGATTAAAGGAAATCTATCGAAAAAGGAGTGCGACATTTGTGGGAAAACGTTCACGAAACCGTATCAAGTCGAGAGGCATAAACGAATTCACACGGGTGAACGACCGTACAAGTGTGACCTGTGTACCAAATCGTTTGCTCAGAAATCAACTCTACAGATGCATCAGAAACATCATACTGGCGATCGGCCGTACGCCTGCCCGTACTGCGAATATTCCTTCACGCAGAAAGGCAATCTTCGAACGCACGTGAAACGCGTTCATCAGTTGGATACCGTGGACGTTAAGAAGTGGAAGCGCAGCCGTCAATCCTTCCTGTCGAAAACAACGATGTTTCAAGAAAACGCTATCGAAGATAAGAGTCTAAATTTGGACAACATATCGTTTGTAGAGCTTCTTAAATAGTAACGTGCAACCGAAGGGCTAAAATCGTTATTTTACGTTGATTAAATTTAATAAATCTTTTATGCCTTTGGAAGAAAGACAACTGAGAGAAAATTAAAACGGAGGAGGGATTAAACGTCGATTAAACGTCGATTAAACAACGCCGGAGAAAATAATACATGTACATGTACATATTGAAATGTTCTTTTTATCTACTATTTGCTATTTGACGTGTTCCATAATTAGTTGTTGACGACACACTGTGTCTCGTGAACAAATATAATCTGTCGCCGTGTGCCACGTATAAAACATTCGCCGATTTGTATCGAAGAAAAAAATAAATTTTTAACGTGCAATATCATTTTTTAACATGGAGACGCAATTTCTTCGTTCTTTGCCCATTTGGTCTGGTGTGGATCGATGTGGAACTGATTTATTTTAACACAGTTAATGCTTGTAATTACATTTTGTTTCGGTTACGGGGCAACCGTCCGGGTGATTTTTATAAAACCAACAAGGTTTGGTCTTCACCCGTGGCGGCAAAGACAATTCGTTTCTCTTCTTCTTCGCTTTTCCGTTGATCCTTTCTGCTGCTGCTGCTGCTGCTGCTGCTGCTGCTGCTCCAGGTACTCTGAACTCTACTCTTCCTTCGACAACGCGAAATATATGACTATGATTTTTCAGCAAGGTTTGAAGGCCTCCGCATTCTTTCCGTAAATGTATCATGGCTTCTCTAGGGATTGATTCGGCGACTTTGCGTAATTCAAGACATCTGCCAGCGTTCCAAAGTTTCTTGGGTGCCTGTTCGGTAGTTATGGCGCGACCTTCATGGAGTAACTGATTCGACACGATGTCAACGATATTCGCAACTAGCGTTCTGTCCAATTGCGTACAGTTTCGCACTCTCTCCACTTTGTCCCGTGGCTTGAAGTCGCAAGTCCACTCTTCTTCGACCGCTTCACTCTCGATCGTTTCGTCGCTCGACTCGTACTTTTGTCGAGTCAAAGTTGTCTTTGCACTTAACATTTGTCGTATACGATCTTCTCGTTTTTTCATCTCCTCGCGCGTTCTTCCCCATCCAATCAGACATATTCGTTTTGTAGAGGGAATTCTTAATTTATCAAGATGCGTCGTAAAACCGCATATGTGAACGCATATGTTTTTCACGTAATCAATGTACTCCGAATATTGACTTTTCGAGGCACAATACCTCTGATACTTTGCCCCATTCAGCTCGTACGGGCAGCAAGGTAATAAAAAGAAACGACAGTTGTTGGAACTACGCGCGGCAATTATCGGAATCCACGGTGTCAACTCGTCCGAATGATTTCCTATGATCCAGTCCACTTCTGGATATACCGTCGATGAAGATGGAACAACGGTACAAACCTGGAATGTGTGTACGTACGTACGTGTATTGACATTGTAATACGAAATAAGTTGTTGTTATATTAATACCACCAGAGTTGTACATTTTGTACATAAATTACGCGTTACTACATACATACTTGCAACGGAGTTTCAGGTGGATACAAGTCCCATATTTTCCTCCTTCGTAAATCAATTCCTAATCCACGGTGACCTTCGTTGAATAGGATATGCACGAGTAAACCATTACCGCATCCCAAGTCGATAAACGTTTGTAAATTATTAGTCCCCGTCTCGAATCTCTCCTTCTCCCACAACAACAACAGGTAGGCAGCGATTGCTACGTCTTCGTAAACAAATTTCATCGGATCGGTACTTTCTGGCCAGTTCTCTATCAATTTCTTGCCATACTTCTCTTTCAACTTGCAGTACAGGTCTGCATATTTTTCAGCCGATACGAGATTCAACGAAGACAACGGGGTCGATGTCCTTTCAGAGTCACCGCTTACCGCCCATTTCAGCATACGTGGGAAAAGCTTTTGCTTTAACCATTCAACGCTGAAATAATCGGACGTAATTCGGTTACTCGGTTGATAGACACTGATGGATGTGAAACCGTCTGTCCCTTGTTGTAACATAAATGCCATTCTAGCACCAAGAGGTTGCTTGAACGAGAAAAAGGGTTTGTGGACATTTATCACGCAACTTTCTTCGCTAAGCGACAAAAAAAATTCGATACCAGTGGAAAATATGTGTGGCGTACGTGGTAATTGTTTCACCGCGTACACGTGCACCTTCCTGCCGGCTGTTGTAGCAACCGTCTGATCAAAAATGCGTAGTACATCCAATAATTTTACGTTATCGACGCTGTCCCCCTCACGATCCATACCTAAAGTTGAAATGTTCAGGGTATTGACAAGCTGAAAAACTTGAGAGATGTCGCAGTTAACTTCGATGTTCAATACTTCGATCGATGCAAGAATCCTGCGGTTTACAGTTTGAGGATTACGACGCCATATACTGACAGCTTTGAAAAATTGCTGTGCGTTGATCCCGCTTTCGTCGCGTATTATCGTTTTGAAATCCATGGTTCTATACGACGCGCAGTTGCAAATCCTTTTATTAAAGGATAAAGAATGCTGCTCTACTACTACGATAGTATCTTTACTCTTGTGCTCGTTACTTTGTTTCCGTTCTTCTTCCTTCTGACTTTGTGTACTAAAAATCATGGTGAAAACAGATAACTAATATATGCAAAGGAAGCACATAAGCAGGAAAAATGTTTTACATTGTATATATATATATATATATATATATATATATTGACCCTCCTGATATACCTTTTTAACGACCCATTCTGCATCTTGTACTGCCTTTTCCATTATTTGCTGAACACGTTCCTTGTCTGGTTCGATCACATGCTGTTTAAAACTCTGGGAGCAACGTGAAGGTAGCAAAAGAACGAAATAGGTTAGGCGTGAAAACATTGGTTGATAATCCCGATTGTATAAATACCGAATTTATTTTTCAATTTTTTTAACGTGAAATGCGATTTACCTGCTTGATCGAATGTCTGTAAAATCCTTGTGCTTCTTTCGGTAATTTCCCGCATTCTCGCATCAAAAATTTGTACAACTGCCTCGGCGACTTTAGAGCTGCTTCGCGTAACTTTGCACCGACCATCTCGATGAAAAATTGCAAAACAGACGGTGAGAAACAATAATTTTTTAAATTATACACAAACAACATATCGTGTAATTTTATACGAAAATATATTAAGAAAGCAAAGTTATAACATCATTTACAGCTTGTCTTTCTTCTTTCGTTTTATTTCTAATTGAAATTAATACAATTTCTTCGAAATAGCGTAGATACAGGAGGGAACAAATTGCCTCTGAAAACACTTTCAAACAAACGAAAGTGACGACGTAGAAGAAGGTTATAATTAGTACGATTTAAATAAAACTATGAGGTCGGCATAATAACATGTATCGGTATATGAAAAAATATAAATAAATTCGTAAATTCCCTCACAGAGATATGACGGACGTATGATGCAGGTATGTATGTACACACACCAAGCTAAATAAAGTTAAAAATGATCAAATTGGGATGGGGGCGCTGCGTACGCCATTATTTAGAAACATTCGTTGCATTGTAGGAAGCACGTACAGTTGTGGAGAGTGAGGTTAGAGCGTTATGATAAATTTACATCGATATAAGGTGGTAAAGATTTTATTGAAATGTCGGTGGCGAGCAAGCATAAATTGGACGGTAATTCGGCTGAAAACCGATGGGAGACACCCTACTGCCGGAATAATTGGTAACATTGACACGTACACTTTACTGCTATCGTGTATTTACTTGCGTAAATATCTAGCTTTCCTTGACGTTAAGTTCACTTTATTTTACTTAGTAATAGGAGATGAAATTCTGAAAGCGCAAGTGAAAGATACCAATTGCTTTTATGCGTGTAAACTGCTTTACAAGCATGGAGTCAAGGTTCAGAAAGTAGGTACAACTTGATCCGAGAAAGTACATGTATTGCACCTTTTATTTCAACTGTTTTTTTTTTCGTTTTGTTTTTTTTTTTTTTCGTAGATTGCGATCGTACGAGACAACATTGAAGATATTTCCAAAGAGGTAAAATATTTTTCAAAAATGTTCAACTACGTTTTTACGTCCGGTGGTATAGGTCCGACTCATGACGACGTTACGTACGAAGGTAAGGCTTTTTTTTAAAAAATTCGTAAGGATACGTAGTAAATGAATGAAAATGAAATTGTGCATTTGACAGCTGTAGCGTCGGCCTTTAACGACTCGTTGCATTATCATCCGACGTTGGTGAATATCATAGAGAATTATTTCAATGCTGGAACATTCCCCTCGCCTGCTTATAAAATGGCACACGTAAGTGATGCATACAAATGGTAAAGTAGTAAAACCAAGTAAGCCGTACGATCGTACGTCGATGTCGTTTTTTCATGGTTATTGAATTTTTAGATACCGACCAGATCTGCGCTTAGATTTGGCACAGGCGAGATCACAGGTAAAAAGCTTACTTATCCGTTTGTAATGGTGGAAAATGTTTATATTTTTCCTGGTTCGCCCACATTTTTTGAAACATCCTTTCAAACATTGTGCAAGGTACGATACAATGAACAATGAAAAATCGCTTCGGACAGTAGTTTTGATCGTTCGAACGGAGAGAAACAGAGAGCAGAAACAGACTTGTTTTTGTAGGAATGTTTTGCCAGTTACAAAAGTTTTGCAGCAACCGAAGTTTACATAAATGCAAAGGAGGAATCGTTTGCAGACGTGTTGCATGCAATTGCGCGGGAATATCCAAATGTTAGCTTTGGCTCGTATCCGGAATATAACAGGTATAACTATAACTGAATTGATTACAACGTGGGAAAACGATGCAGAAATTTGTCGTAGATGATCAAAGGTAGATGTTCCTCTTAGGTATTACAAAGTGCGTGTAACGATCGAAAGTGAGAATGAAAAAGACACCGAGGCAGCAAAGACAATGTTCTGTAATCGTATTGCGAGAGACGTTCTAGTACATTACGATAGCACGCCACACGTGGATTGCTCGTCAAAGTACGATTCACTGATTCAAAAGTCCCAACGTCGATCAATTTATGAGCGTTCCTTCAAGAAATTCGTGTAATGCCTCTGTACAACTGGAAAAAAAGTATCGATTATTTTTATCGGCTATGAGGCGCCATCGAATTTTTCCTTGTTTTCTTTTTCTTTTTCTCCTTGTAGGAATTATTATGAGAAACCTGAGGACGTTTGGATATATTTGGACGGCAGCGAAGAATCGGTTCTTATGGTACATCTTGCTCGAATCGCTAGTAACAAACTGCGACATTGTTCAAAGTTGAAACTGCGTGCAGTCTGTCTTGAATCGGATGTAGAGAAGATGGGTACTGATGAGTTTATTCGTGAGCTTAAGAACAGGTAGGTACAATATCGCCAAGTTCACGGCACGGTGAATTGCCTTGAATCAACGTGAACGTGAAGCTGATTTTTGGTTGTTTGAACCTGTTAGATATAACATGGAGGTGCGTAAATTGGAATGCAAGGGAAGAGATTGCGCCGTGGGCAATTTTGCTGCATTAAAACCAGAATTGCGAGTGTTGCTGGTTGGAAAACGACAGAGTAGTAAGAAAGAAACGTACGACGATATTATCGCACGATTAAACGGCGATTGTTCTTCGTCTGTGCAAGTACGTTTTCCTCTCATTGATTGGACAGACGACGACGTCAGAGATTTCTTTAGTTCGCTCTGTTTACCTTACAATAGAACTGAAACTTAGTAATAATGAAATCGGTAAGGAAATAAATAAAAATTTGTCTCATTGTTCTTGTCATTTTCTTTTCTTCCCGTTTGTTTCTTCCAGTTTGTACATGTACTCGACTCGTTTCCCATATTTATAACAATTTATTTTCATAGGCACGAGAGAGAAAAGGTTGTTGGATAACAATTGTTGGATTTCGGATCGAGATGGCCGTGAAATTTTGTATCTGTCGACTGATTCGATACCAAGTTATTGCATGATCAGTGCTCTCCCTTCATGCAAGGAAATTGATAAAAAAGAAATTGACGCCAAAGTTGTGTGAAAGTCGTATTAAAATCGGTTTATAATCGAAAAATTACCAAAAATTGTTAAACTTGTATTTCTTTGTTCTTTAATCCCTGATTATCACGAGAATAGTGAGAGTGTTTAGTGTTTATTGGAAGGAAACGCATGGTTAAGCCAAATTACTCAATATGTGTGTGTATATACATATATCTTTGAAAACAAAAAGGACAAAAAGTTGAACGTTGGAAAGTTTTGGTTAGTCAGCTTAAATCGTTTTTACCGCCGAAACTGTGTCGTTTCTTTTCGATTGAGAGTCGAATTGAGCCGAGTTGAACCGAGTCGTGGCTTCAGATTTAAAAGAGAAAAAGACCACCTGAAATGTCGTTTGAGATGTTGATTGAAATGTTTTTGGCTTCTTTCTCCTTTGAGAAACACACATTGTGTGACATTTTTCGAATTACTCTGTGCTATATATTATAAAAACACGTTTTCTTTTTTACGTTTATGTTTGCATCATCCTTTCAAGTATCATTCTTTTACGATCGTTTACGGATCGGTGAATGACGTTTTAAAGGCTATATATATATATATA